AGAATAGTGCAACAATGAATGAGTGGAAGCCCAAGATCTCTGTAAATGTTTATGAAAATTAATAAAATATAATTATAGAAAAAAAAAAGAAGTAGGAAATAGTACAGCCAGAAGGCGTGTGCAGCAAAGATGGTGAAGTCTTTCAGACTTCAAGCATGTTACTAGGAGCGACTATTTGGAAAGGAACATCATGATTAGAAAAGTGGAGGTTCAGCAAAAGAGAGGCAGACCCTCAGTGAGATATGTTGACACAGTGACTGGAGCAATGGGCTCATCATGAGGATGGCACAGGATAGAGCAGAGTTTAGGTCTGCTGTTTACAGTGTTGCTATGATCTTACTCAACTCGATGACACATAACAATGACACCTCGGAGAGATGGAGTTATGTGGTGACTATGACAATGGTCTGAAGTACGATGGTGATCTTGAAGATGCAGCTGGAGAGGGCAAGGAGCTTATCTATTTCTCACAGGGCAGCTGTGTGGTTGACTTGTCAGCACTTAACAATAGCATTTCACTCCGTTTCCTTTTCTTTCACAAGAGGTGAATAATAACCGACATGAAAAGCATTATCTTATTCAGGTAAGAGCCGAACATAAATTGCAACTCAAGTATTTTCCTAAATATTATTTCAGTATTACTTATTACCACGTGGCTCCTGTTACATAACCTATCATGTTACATAATCAGAGAGGAAGAGTGGGGACTTGAGACCCATGGTTATGCATCTTATCAAAATAAAGAGCTTTTTCAGCAAGTCATTTTGGGAACATGGCACCGCCTTGCACTCCGACTGCATTGCTAACTCATGATGGAAAGTTAAAGACCCTTACTTTGTGACAGAGCTCTTGAATGGACTGCAAACAGTCACCTGCTGGCATCTGTAATTGTATCTTGAGTTTTAATTCATTGGATGAGATAGCTATTACAATTAAACATAAACATAATAACTAATATACCTTTGAGAATAATAGAGCTGGGATTATTTTTTTCACCAACAATTGTTTAACAATTATTTCACGGAAATAATTAATATATGTTACAAAGAAACACTAGTGAGACCAGGGTGAAGGGAAAACATATAGAAATTAAATTGGAAAGTCATTATGAGGTGAAGAATTAATTTCAAGGTTGTCACTAAAGCCGGAGGTCCCTGCACAGACACTAAATCTGAACCACTAATATGGGTTTGAACGGCTCAACAACCAAAATGGAAAAGGAAATGCTGCCTTTTAAAGGTGTATTTTCTCTGATCAATTGGAGGAAGAAAGTATTTCCTGTCCCTTGATTCAGAATGGGAATTTTTCATCTGGCGTTTCATGTGGTGGCAATTGAACGATGTAGGGGGCAAGGAATCCCTGTAGAAAATAAAAGAGCAGCTGGCTGTTGCTGTAATAGAAGCCCCACCTCCACTCCTACGCTTTATTGTGAGGGAGGTGAAGGATTTTATACCAACACATTGTTCTGTGAAAGCCGTTCTGGACAAGTAAGAGGACAGCATGCAGCTTCCTGATGGTACAGCCTCGTGAAGAGTGAGCCCTATATCTCTGATGAATAGATATTCTGTTTATTCTTTAAATTATCACTCATAAACTTCACTTTGCTCAGCAGGGCCTTTGCTAAGAAGGAGGCAGCTGAAAGTGTGGAGTTATATTTTTTCCTTGGCAAGGGCTTATTATGATTTACAAATGCTGGGGAGACACAGTCAAGGAACCCTGCTAGACAAGTCTGGCTGTTTTCACTGAGGCAGTCATACATGGAGACTTATATGCAATTATCTGCTGTACCTTTTCTTTTGAGTGAAGTGTCACCCTTCTTTCCTTTTCCTTCCTGAGGAGTTTGATGTTTACCATGCTGGGAGTCTAAACAAAATTCAACACACAAATAACATTTATGACTTCCTTTAATAGCTGAGCAATGACTTGTAAGCAATCAAACATTATTTCTCACAGATACAGATAAAAGTATTTCTCTCATGCATGCTATGGCTCAAGCCCTTATTGTGATTTAAAGGTAATCAGAAAATAGGCTACGGATGGAAGCGTCTTGAAAAACAGCACTGATAGGACTATTCTATCTTGTCACTCTGAGCACTTTAATTCTAAATTTTAATAGACATTTGGAACACAGTTGTGGACATTTGAAAATTTATTGAAAGTCCATTTAAAAGCTCTATTTGGATTTATTTTAACTGAATGAACAAATCAACCTATTATGGGGATGATGCCAGACACTTTTCAGAAGGCAGGAAAACAACATTTAACTTGGTCATGTGTATCCTTGAACTTCTCTTGGCTAAATGTGCTTAGTGGCCATGTGATGTCTATGCTTCCATTTTGCACTGACTATAACTTGTAATCCAGCCCATGGATTACAAAGAAAAGTGGAGGGTCAATGAAAGTGAGGAAGACCCTCAGTGAGATGGGCCTACACAGTGACTCTAATGGGCTTAGGCATGGCAAGAGGGCAAGGATGGCGCTGGATAGGTTGAGATTTCAATCTACTATTCATATGGTGGCCACAAGTTGTAGTTAACTCAGCAACACCTTCACAACAACAACAACTTGTAAAGAATCTCTTGAGGATATTTATCTTGGATTCTCTGGGATTTAGTTAAACAGAGTTATTTAAAAGGGAACAATGAGAAAGTGATGATGTCTCAAATAAATTATTGTTGTGTACTGTTGAGTCAGAACTAACTCACAGCTAACCCTTTAGTGGTTTTGAAGAGGCAGTAACTTGCATTGAAGATGAATGTCTACCTTTTCAATGCAGAGCTGCTAATGAACTTCAACCACAGGCCTTTGGTTTGGTCTCACAAAATTATTAAACCTTTCATTATTCAACAAGAAGTTCAACCAGTTTCTTCTTTAGTCCTGGCTATAGTTCTTTTGTTTTTCCTTCATTGGCAGCTTTTAAAGTACTGTTGTTGTTACTTGCTTTTGAGTCAACTACACCTCATAGCAGGCTGACGCACAATCGTTCTGAACTCTCTCTATCCTGAGCCAATCTCATTGTCTCTGACACATCTACCCTCATTACCCCAGTTACTATGTGAATCCACATCATACAGGGCCTTCTTTTCTGTGCTGTCCCTCAACCCTTCCAAGCATGATGTCCTTCTCCAAAGACTGGTCCCTCCTGGGACCAAAGTATGTGAGATGGAGTCTCAAAATCCTTCTTTCCAAAGAGCAGCTGGGTTTCACCCTCTCTCGGAAGGACTTGTTAGTAGTTTAGGTAAGCACAAAATGACGAGGGCACAGGAGGACAATGAGAGGAGCACAAGAAATAGAGGCAACAAAGCTAAATATTATTCCATACACAATCCTGCAATAACATGAATAATAACTAACTACAGTTGGGTACCAAATATAAGTAAATGAAATAGAAATGTGAAAGTTAATGGGTCTATACTGATACGTACAGATTTGACCAGAAAAAAAAATTCAAACAAAACCTCCAAACCCACTGACACTGAGTCAATTCTGATCCTTCCATTGGGTTTCAAGGCTCTATAACTTTACGGGAGAAAGGGCTCCTCTTTCTTTCTTGGAGGATCTGGTAGATTTGAACTACTGACTTTTCAGTTAGTAGCACAACACCAGGCATATTATCCCACTAGTGCTCCTTTATAGTTTGACTGAGGATGTCAGCTCTATCCGTGAGTACAGAAGAGCATCGAGGGACTAAGTCATGGATACTACATAGCTATACCCAAACATCTTGAAGGAATGAGTTTCTTTGTCTAGGGGGCTCAGAACCATAGTCTTGGTAGGCATGAAGTCAATTAGCATAGTACAGTCCACAAGAACAACATTCTACAACCGACAGCAGCAACTGAGGTCTTCAAAGCCTGCAAGTGGTCATCTAAAGTGCAACTCTGTCTCTCTCTGTCTGAGGCAAACAGAGTGGAGGCAATCAAAGATGCACGGATACAATTAGACCAAGGGCTAATGAAATCCATGAACTCCAATTTCCATGACACAGGGAACAGAAAAACTAGACAGTGAGTAGTTCCCACCACTGGCTGCTCCAATATGGAGTACAAAAGTAACTCCTGCATAAAGTGGGTGGATATGGAACAAAACTCCAAATCATAAAAGAGAGCAGGATGACTAATCAGTCTATAGAGACTGGTGGGACCTCTGTGACTATGGTCCTTGGTTACTCTTAACCTGTGAAGTCATACTCAAGGCTCAGCTTCCAGCCAATAGACAAGCCTGCAAGGTGACGCCACATAGTCATAGTTAATAAAATACAGGAAAATATCTTTCTGATTTTATCTTCTTTCAGCCAACATCCATCTGATGGCATCAATGATGCATTTGTCACTCTATAGCCTATTTCTGAGTCCAGCTTGGATTTCTGGCAGTTCCTATTGCTGTACTGCTCTAGACACTTCTGAATAATCTTCAGCAAGATTTTACTTGCTTGTGATAATGATACTGTTAAATAATGTCTATATTATGTTGGATCACCATTTTTAAAATAAGCACACACATGGATCTCTTTCAGTGGGTTGACCAGGGACTCGTCTTCTATATTTATTGGTCTAGGCAAGTAAGCACATCTAGGGCTGTAATGTTATGGCTAACACTGAGGAGAATGGGAATTCCAGAACACATGGTTGTACTCACGCAACATCTGTACATAGACAACGCAGCTGTTCAAACAGAACAAGGATATACTGCATGGTTTAAAATCAGGAAGGTATGTGTGAAGATTATATGCTTTCATCATACATAGTCTAAGTGTATGCTGGGAAAAGAATTCAAGTAATTAGACTATATGAAAAAGAATGTGGCATGGGGATTGGAAGGAGACATATCAGAAAACCTATGATATGCAGATGATACAACATTTCCTGCTGAAAGAAGACTTGAAGCACTTAATGAAGAAGCCTTCAGTATGGATTACACCTCAAAAGCAAGAAATAACAAATAACAAATAACCACAAATGTACTAACAGACAGATGGAGAAGAGATTTATGTTATCAAATGTTTAATCTTACTTGGATCCAAAAATTAAAAGTCATGAAAATAGAATTCAGGAAGTCTTAAGACACACTGCTCTGGGCAAAATTTGTTGGCAAGGACCTCTTTAAAATGCCAACCAGCAACGATGTCACTGTAAAGTCTGCCGTGACCCCTGATCCATGGCATGGCATTTTCCATTGCTTTATATGCATGTGAAAAGTTGGACAGTGAATAAGGAAGACCAAAGAAGCATTGGTTCCTTTGAATTATGTTGGTGGTCAAGAATATTGAATATACTGTAGACTATTATATGAGCAAACACTTCTGTCTTAGAAGAATTGCAGTCAGAGTGCTCAAAGGATGATGAGATGTTTTCCTCATAAAGTTTGAGAATATTTCAGGGAGAGTCCAGTTCTGGAAAAGGACATCATGTTAGAAAAGCTGAGGGTCATCAAAAGAGAGGAAAGTCCTCAAAGAGATGGATTGACACAGCGACTGCCACAATGGGCTTGAGCACGAGAGATTGTGAGCATGGTGCAGGAGCGAGCAGTGTTTTGTTAAGTTGACTTGATAGCACTTAACAATATAAAATCAAACTAAACCAAACTCACTGTTACCAAGTTGGTTCCAACTCATAGGGGCCCTCCACTGAGTTTCCATGGATGCAAATCTTTATGGCAGGAGATTGCCATTGTACTTCCTTGGAACAGCTAGAAAATCTGAAAGGCTGGTATTTCAGCTTGCAGCCTGTTATATTATATACCGCACCACCAGAATTCCTTTAAAAACAACATGAGGTGAATAATCATACAAGGGAAGTATGAATTCTCTCAGACCAATCAACCACATGAAATCAAAGGATAGCATTTGTCAGGGGATAAGGTCCCAGGGGCAAGGATGACTAAGCTTCATCTCACATACTTAAGGCATGTCACTAGGAGTGAGGCTAGTCCTTGGACAGGGACGTTATGCTTGGAAAGGTGGAGGGTCAGTGACAGAGAGGAAGACCCTTAATGAGATGGATTGACACAGTGACTGTGATAATGGGCTCAAGTATGTCAGAGACAACGAGGATGGCACAGGATAGGACAGGGTTCATATCTGTTGTTTATAGGGTTACTATGAGTTATAATGGATTTGAAAGCACCTAACAGTAACAAAGCTCAGAAGTCAGGGAAGGAGGGGAAAAAAAGATGGGTGGAAATGGTAAATGTAGGACAGAAATGGGAAGAGTGTTTTCACACTGTGGGGACTGCAATCATTGTCACAAATCAAAACGTGCATCATGAATGGATGACTCATTAGCCTTGTCAACTTTCACACTAATCACAACAAAAAGCTATAAAGACAGCACAGCAACTTAAACATCTTTGATTGAGAGACTCCAACGACCAATTCTTCGTGTTTAGAAATGATAGTTATGATTATGTGTGCATGAATTTCAATATCTCAACAACTGTGATTCTAAAATAAATTACTTAGATGAATAGGGGGGGAAAATCTATCCTTGAAACATTTGTTAATTTGTATAAAAGGCTTTAAAACATCCAAATAGTTGACTACAAAATAAATAAATAAACAAACAAATATGATCCAAATGTTTGAGTGATATATATATATATATATATATAATGATCAAAATGTCTGGATAAGCTCCCTTGATAGTTCCTTTAACAAAACTATTTTATGCAATTCATTATTTAATTAGCTTTAAATTCTAGCACAAGGTAACAGAACAAAGAAGGCAAGAACAGAGGTAGGATATGATAAACTGATAAAATATGTGGAATCAACTCATAGCTGAACCTCTAGTGGGTTTTCAGAGGCAGTAAATTGCACCAGAGGAGACTGCCCACCCTTCTTCCACAGAACAGCCAGTGGAATCGAACTGCATATCTTTGGTATTGCAGTATAGGTTCTTATCACTAGGCCACCAGAACTCCCTAATAAAGTACGTTGTTATTTTTGTTGTTGTGTAGCATCAAGTTCTTCCAGCGAGTGTTCAGAGGCAGTTTTAAACACATGAGAGGAGATTGCTCATCTTTCTCCCACAGAGCATTTGGTGGCTTTGAACTGCCAGCTTTGGAAGCACAAACTGCATGCCTTTGGGATTGCAGCTCAGCTCCTTACTACTTCTGCTGGGGAAGTATATACTCTGTCCACTTTTAATCAGTTCTGAAATATATTCTAAGGAGCTCTGGAGGAGTGTGAAGTGTCTAAAGCACTCAAATGCTAACCAATTGAAAAGCCAAGGTTGAAATATACTGTAAAATCCAGGAAATATACTTAATTAGCAGCATGGATTGTAACACTCTATACTGCCATACTGAGAAGCTTGGTTCTAAACTCAGTAGTGCTTGGTAATCGATTCAATGATTAGCCTTTAAATGGAATATGGCCAAATATAATTCCAAGTGTGTGTAAAATGGATATAAATTATCTCAAAAACTTGCTGCCTTCAAGTCAAAACTGACTCATTGCTGATCCTTCACTGAGTCTTTGAAAGCAGTAAGCTGCATAGGAGGAGAATGCCCATCTTTCTTCCCCAGAGCTGCTGGTGGATTTGAACAGGTAGAGAGGCGTGGCCTTAGGGATAGTTCACAACTCCCTATAGATTACATATATCATGAGCTCTCCCTAGTTAGAAAATATCATTGGGCCAAATGATGATTACCACTAAGTTCTTTACTTGGTTCCATCTGATTTTCTTTAAAAAAAAAATAAATAAAATAAAAAATTCTTTTCAAACTCCTAAAGAAGGTTGGAATTAGTTGTTTAAGTTGGGCATGTTTTGAAACCCCAGGCTTTACATTCTGCCAGTTTTTCTTATACCTAACCCACAGCGGAAGAGGTGCCATTGATTCACAGCTCCCCTCCATTGGGTCTCCGAGACTGTAATTCTTTAACTGGGAACGTTACCCACTGGGCTCCAGAAGACGGTTTGTGGGTTGAACTTCAGACCTTTAGGCTGTTACACACCATGCGACACAGGCCTCTCAAAAAAGCAAACCTCCTTGAAAATTCCTCCTCTAGCATGCTCATACAAACTCCCCTCAGCTGCAGTGACACAGTGTCCCTGGCAGCCCCACCAACGTCCTAGTGCCATGCGCTTTTCCACCTAGCAAAGCAGTGTTGTGGAAGGCAGTAATTGGGCCTCTGGAGACGAACCCTTCTATGCATTCTTAAAGCTCAGGCACCAGTCCAGTCCTCCATGGAAAAAAGAGACAGTACAACCACACTTTGAAGCAACGATGCATTTATTATTCCTCCAGTGCACAGTGTTCAAGAGTACAATTTTTAAATTGCAAACAAACTTAGGAAGCCTCTAAGACTGAGCTACGCCATTAACAGGAACAACTAGAGATTTTGTTTCAGGAAATGGCTCAGACATGGAGCGAGTTGGGAGGAGGAGAGGGGCAGTGCTAGGATCCCATATCAGATAAGACAAAACTCACTTAAACTGAAGGGAGAACTGTCCCAACATGTAACTGTACTTATAAAGATTTCCATTTCCCTCCCTCCAGAACTCTGGACTGTTTTTAATTCCTGATGAGGTAGTGGAGAAAAGACATTTATCTCATTAATGGCTCTTTGTTGTGTCAAAAGATAAACACATTTTTTTAAGGGATTGTATGTTTTAACCCTTAGTTAATTCCATTCTAATGGTGGGGAAAAAAGATTTTTAATACACAACAAAGGCTACTAAAGTTTTCAAGTTCATTTGTGTAATGTAAATCTCTTTTTTTACCCTTTAGTTCAGAGCCATTCCAAGGACACCAGAAAGGTTATGGAGTTTAGAGAAATAATCAAGGCACGCTATCAAGAATATGTATCTTCGGAGTCTCATGTGGCTGTTTGGCCAGCCACTTATGGAGCTGAAACCAGAAACCAGGGATGCAATTGTTTCCTAGAATTAGCACTTAACTCATAGGATGCTTTACAACAGCTCAGCACTTGACTTCTGTTGCATACTTATCTTCATTTTCTACCATGGGATGCTCTGGTCATGGTCTGTACTAGTTAACAATCTATAATAGAAAGAACCCAGGCCAGACAATATTCTCTGAGCAGGCCTTTGCCTTTTATGTCCTTAAAGAGATCCTTTGAGGCACTTGTTACTTTCCTTTCCTAAGCACATATAAAGATTTACAATGACATTTGATTTCTAGTCACCACGGCATGCTGCTGTGTTGTCCCCTCATTCTTGTGTGTGCTATCTACACTAATTCTCATCTTATTAAGATGGTAACAGAATCTTAACTCCATAGCTCAGCAAACAAACATCTATGTCCTCACCCTGCTTTAGATGGCTTCTTATTCTCTGTGCCTTCCCACTTCTCCTGTGGGGTCCTATTCTAATGGGCAGATCTGAATGTGACAACTCCATGTCCACCCACACACTGAAGTGCCTGGGTTTGGCGACAACTACATCTTTGCTACTGGAGGCCTTTTCCACTTTTTTTTGAGCGAATCGCTTTGTTTTCTATGACTGAAGTTGCTTCAAGTTTAATAGCATGTACTATAATTTGTACCTCTCCATGGGAAACCAAGGAACCAGCAAACAGGGTCATAAATCATTGTGTCAGTCACCTGATTGCTTCACTTTTGCAGACTGAGTTTTCGCAGGCTCTGTCGGAGGAGAAATTTCCTTCTCTTTTTCTGGTTCAGGAGGAGGAGGAGGGGGTGGTGCCTCAGCCAGAGCTGCTTCTTCTGTCTTCTTCTTTGCTTCCTTTTCTTCTAATTTCTTAGTGACTTCAAAAGGATAAGAGGAACAGAACATCATTAGGAACTTCAAACCAAACCACAAGTAAACAAACCTAAGAATCACCCAGTGTGTCATCTCATAGCCACCATGCAGGGTAAAGCAGAACCACCCAGCATGGTGTTAGAGCCTCATTTTTCCCCTAAAGATTAGCTGGTAGGTTCAAATCACCCCCTTTTCAATTAACATCCTACCACTAGGCACTGAACCAACAGGGCTTGTCTGTGTGAACTGAGACAAACCTCAATTAATAGAACAGTGCTCTTACTGGCTTGAGAGCCAAGGAGTGTTTCAGGACTTTCAGGGAAGTCACCTAGCACAGAAAGCTCCAATTTTAAGACTTCTCCATCTGAAAAGAAATACAATTTCCTCAGCCTCTTGTAAGAGCCATGGTGGTGCAGTGGTTAAGTTCTCATCTGCGAACTGGAAGGACAGCAGCTGGAACTCCACTAACCACTTCGTGGAAGAAAGAGTTGGCCGGACACTCTGGAATGGTTTACAGATTTGGAAACCCTATAGGGCAGCTCCACCCTGTCCTGTAGGTTCTCTTTGAGTTGGAATTGACTGCAGGGCAACAAACGGGGAGTCTCCTGGTGTTGGTGGTGCTGGTTGGTGCTGTTGCTGTGTGCACAGAACAAATTAAAAGGCCTGGGGAAGGCAACAAAAATAATAACCTTGAAATACTTCATAAAGAGAGATAGGAAAATAAAGACTTACTTCAACATGCCCAGTAGATAAACAGAAGAGAAAGTTTAAAAAGAAGGGAGAGAGCAATGTGAGAGAAAAGGTGAGGAGATCTACTAGGGAAAGGTATATGTAACACTAATTAAATGAGCAGATTCTTGTTCTCCATATCTATTGCCACCACGACAACCACCTCCACTGTCACCACCACCATCACCACCACTACCTCACTGTTACAACCACAACCACCACCACCACGTCTCTGTCACCACCAACACCATCACTTCCACTGTCACCACCACCACCACTACTGTCACCACAACCATGACCACCGCCACCTCCACTGTCACGACTACAACCACCTCCACTGTCACCACCTCCACTGTTACCACCACAAATACCATCTCCATTGTCACAACAACCACCACTTCCACCTCTAGTGTCATGACCACAACCACTACCATCACCACCACCTCCACTGTCAACACCACCACCACCGTCACCACCACCACCACCACCACCACCATCACTGTAACCACTACAATCATCATCACGACCTCCACCACCATCACCACCACAACAACCACTACCACCTCCACTGTTACCACAACCACCACCATTACCATCACCATCACCACCTCCACTGTAACCACCACAACCACAACTACTACAACCAGTCACCAACACAACCACCAGCACCACTACCACCACTGTCACCACTACCACAACCACCACCACCACCCACCTCCCCTGTCACCACAACTATCACTACCATATCAACTGTACCACCACTACCACCTCTACTATCACCACTACAACTACCACCACCACCTACACTGTCACCACCACCACCATCACTACCTCCCACTATCACCACCACAACCACCACTACCTCCACTATCACCACCACAATTACTACCACCATCACCTACACTGTCACCACCACCACCACCACCTCCCACTGTCACCACCACAACTACTACTACCTCCACTGTCACCACTATAATCACCATCACAACCACCACTGCTGCCACGACTACCACAGTCACCACCACAACCTTCACTGCAACCACCATCACCTCCACCATCATCAAAACTATCAACACTACTACCGTCATCGTCACCACCACCACCATTACCACCACCATTGCCATAAGCATCACCATCATCACCAGTGCCACCACCACCCTCTCCAGCATCACCACCATCTTTTCACAAGTGAAAGAGAGGAATACGCTCAATGAAATGAGCTAAAAAAGTGGTTATAATAATAGCCTCTATATCACGAGTGGTAAGGATGGTACAGGGCAGGGTTCAGGTCTGCTGTTCACGGGTCGCTATGAGTCTTGTTTGAATCAATGGTAGCAAACAACAAGAGCCACAAATAACACTAGTCACAGTGCTGACTGACAGGATATAAGCATAAATAGTATAACACACACACACACACACACAAATTATTGGCTTTGTGAAGTTTCAATCATAATGATGGAAGACAAATAAACATGACAAAAAAATGAATTCATGCAGATGCTTGGAGGAGAAATAACATGAAGAAATGAACCCGAGGAGACGAAGGGGTATCTGGAGAGCTATGTGGAAGCTTTTTAACTTCTTCAACAGAGCACTCTACACTGTAGGCCCAATGAGATGGTGACATGAAGAAGAGGAGGGACTGAACCCAGGGGTTCAGTCTGAACTGAAGAGATTTCTTCTCAGAATCATTACTTAAATGTGAAATTCCATTGACACTGGAAATCTATGAGTTTATGATCTCACATAAGTTCCCATAAGTGTACAAAAATGTAATAGTAATTATTATTGCTTGACTGGATGAGGGAAGGGGGTCAGAACATTTTTTAAGGTAAAATTATTTAACAGGATAAAATAATATTTTTCCTTTTTAAAAAAATTAATTTATTAATTTTAATAAACATTTACAGAGATTTTGGATTTCCATTCGTTCATTGTTGCACTTTTCTCCCTGCCCACCCTTCCCCCTGCCCCAGTCCACTACTGTCTTTGAAAAGTAAAAGTTCTTTTATTGGTATACAATTCTCCTGCACCCTCCCCCCACCTCCCCGAGTACACTTCACTTAATTCTGGACTATTGTGATAACCATAATACCCTATCATATATCACTTTAAAGATACCTCAGAAGTAGACTAATAAGCAAGTAACTGATAATTGTTAAACTAATTTAGGTAGGAAGATAATTCACTCACTGTTTATAATACAAAACACACTTAAATCTGTAATATACTGAATATGAATTCTTTTATTTCTTGATTTGTTTGACAGTAAAACAATGCTTTCAGTGAGATGATATATTTTTTATTAAATAAAAGAAAATGTAAAGGAAGTGAAGAAAAAGTACTTTATGTAGAAAAATATGCAGCAGAAATAAAATCAGAAGCAGAAATGAAACCCTTTAAGATAGTAGTAATCTGAATATAAGCGAAAGCTCTATAATCATACTATAATTTTTAACTTCATTAAAACCATATTTTACATACCTAAGCTCAAAATGGTAAAAAACATAATTACCTTTATTCTTTTTTTTATGCATCTCAGTCACAAAAATGTCTTTTACTCTTTGGTATAGATCCTCCTCGTCTATGTCAGCATTGACTTTTATCAATATATTCTCTGCCTCTGAAAACCACTGCTCCAGCGAAGGCCAGTTGTCCAAGAAGCCCACAATTCTGCAAAAATCAGAATACTATATGAAGATCACATGTTGATTGAAATACCAGAGTGATATCAAGCATAGTTTACCTTGTGCACAATTAAATGGTACATTGTCAAAACAGAGCCTGAAAAAAAAGAAACAAACTTAAAACAAAAATCCTATGAATGATTGTTTGGAAAATGAATATAATTTTTAAATCTCACTAACTGGAAAAAAAAGAAACCTATCAGGAGTAGCATCCACTTCCATAAATAGCTTGCCTCTGGAAACCCTATGAAGCTGGAGACAGGATGAGAGACACACAAGTGTTGAGGACTTTTTGTTCATAGGGTCTCTATGAGTCACCTACGACTTGACGGCACTTAACAACAACAACAACCATCTGTTAAAAAGCCACTGCCATCGTGTCCAGACTGGCTGATAGCACCTCTTTGTTCCTGAGGTTGTAAATAATTCTAGGAGGATTGTGCCTTCTTTCTCCTCCAGAGGAGCTGGTGGGTTTGAACTGCTGACCTTTAGGTTTAGGGTACAACATGTAACACACTTCCTTTCTAAAGGGCCTTAAGAAATGGACAGGCAGTGGATTCTCACTCTCATTAGATTAAAAAAAGGTATTATTTAATGCCACCAAGACATATTTTTTTTAGAAATATGAAAAAGCAAAAGAAGAAAGGAAAATGTCATCATTTAATGAAAACATTCATGTAAGTTGGATTTAAGTGGAACTCCAGACAAGCATGGTGGACTACTGCCATCAATGTTCACAGCAAGATAGCTGAGCCATATAACTCTTCCTGGTAACAGTGGTCTTGTCTGTCATCTTCAATTTTTTCTTAAAAACAGAAATTACATAGATTTGTGAGGAACCTCAGATGGCTCAGACTTATCAGCATTATTTATAAGTATTCTTAGAATGATTCTTGAAATGGTCTTTTTTCCTTCCTAGAGGACAGGCAGCCTTAATATTGCTTAGGAAGCTCTGATGCCCTTGTTCTTGTTGTTGTGTGAAATTGAGTGGGAACTGACTCATAGCTGACCTTCCAGGAGGTTTTCAGAAGCAGCAGATAACAGAGGAGAAGGTTGAACATCCTTCTCCCATGGAGCAGGCGATGCACTGGAACCATGTGCATTTAGGATTGTAGAGCAGCTTCTTTTCACTAGGCCACCAGAGATCCCTAGCAGTTATTGGTTTGCCAACCCAAAGACATAGATCTAATCCATAAGCCATTGTGCAAGAGAAATATGGGTAATCTCTCCCCACGTGACTGGCTTACTGCCTCTGCAAACCTGCTGGAGGCTCTTCTATGATCCAGTTGCAACTTGGCAGCAATCAAGTCAAGTTCCAACTTAGGTGACTCTTTGTGGTTCTCTTCCTATTTTTAGAATTCTCCTTACGGCTTCAGGAAATTGTCTAATTTTGTCTAAATTTTATTCAGTGAAAAGCTTGTGTACATTCAAGACAATATCAGAAAACCTCCTCAGCATGAAACAGAAGTGGTTTTAGAATTAGACACTGTAGTCTGATGGCAGTGTTTCCTTGCTCTTTTCTGACAACTGCCTCTTGGTTCAAGTATAGGTTTCGCATCAGAACGATGAAGTGTTCTAGGATTCCCATTCTTCTCAGAGTCAGCTACAGTTTGTTATGATCCACACAGTCAAACGCCTTTGCATAATCAATGAAACACAGATAGACATTCCTCTGGTACTCCCTGCTTTCAGCCAAGATCCATCTAACATCAGCTACAATATCCCTAGTACCACGACCCCTTCTAAACCCAGCCTGGACTTCTGGCAGTTCTCTGCTGATGTGCTGTTCAAGTCATTTTTGGATAATCTTCAGCAGAATCTTGCTTGCATGTGAGATCAACTATATTGTTCTATAGTTTCCACACTCTGTTGGGTCACCTTTCTTTGGAATGGGAACAAATATAGATCTCTTCCAGTCAGTTGGCCAAATGGTTGTTCTCCAGATTTCTTGACACAACTTGGTGAGCACGTCCAGGGCAGCAACTGTTAGCTGAAATATGTCAATTGGTATACCACCTATTCCTGGGGCCTTATTTTTTTCCATTTCCTTCAAAGCAGCCTGAACTTCTTTCATCACCATAGGCTCTTGCTCATACTATTGTTTCATGAAATTCTTCTGTGTCTGCCAATTTTTTTTGATACAGTGACTCACTATATTCTTTCCATCTTCTTTTAATACTTCCTGGATCATTTAACATTCTGCCTAAAGCATCCTTGATTGTAACAACTTGAGGTTTGAATTTGTTCTTCAGTCCCGTGAGCTTAAGAAATGCTGAGTGATTTCGAGTTCGGCCATTTTGATTTTCTGACTCTAGCTCCTTGCACATTTCATTGTAATATTTTACTTTGTCATCTCGTGCTGCCTTTTGACATCTTCTGTTCAGCTCTTTAGTATCTTGAATTCTTCCTTGTGCTTTAGCTTCTTTGGGCTCCAGTGCAATATTCAGAGTTTCTTCTGACATCCATTTTGGTCTTTTCTTCCTCTCCTGCTTTGTAATGAACGTCTGCACTCTTCTTGAATGATATCCTTGATATCCTCCCACAACTCATCTGGTCTTTGCTCATTCATCTTCAAGCCCTAAAACCTGTTCCTGAGATGGTTATGAAATTCATGTGGGATAGACTCAAAGTTATATTTTGGTTCCCATGGCCATCATCAGAACAGAGCAAGGAAATACTGCATGGTTCAAAATTGGGAAGAGTGTATGCCAAGAATGTGCCCTATCACCATACCTTTTCAACCTGTGTGCAGAACAGATCATATGGGAGGCTGGGCTCTATGAGAAGAAATGCGGTATCAGGATTGGTGGATGATCTATCAACAATCTGCTTTATGCAGATGACACAACCCTGCTTGCTGAAACTGAGGAGGACCTGAAGTGCTTGCTGCTGAGGGTCAAGGATTGCAGCCTTCAGTATGGATTGAGGCTCAATGTCAAGAAGCCAAAGATTCTCACTATTGGACCAATTGGCAGCATCAGGATGGATGGTGAAGAGATTGAGATTGTTTACAGCTTTAGTCTGCTTGGCTCCACAATCAACACTCTTGGCACCAGCAGTCAGGAAATTAAAAGATGTATTGCGATGGGAAAGTCTGCTGTTAGGGAACTCTCTAAAGTACTCAAGAGCAACGGTGTCTCTCTGTAGACTAAGTTGCGCCTGATACAGACCGTGGTCTTTGCAATCACTTGTTATGCATCAGACAGTTAGACAATGACTAAGGAGGATAGAGGGAGAATTGATGCCTTTGAGCTGTGGTGCTGGAGAAGAGTATTGAGGGTACCATGGACTAGTAAGACAAAAAACAGATTCATCCTGGAAAAGGTTTAACCGGGCTGCTCCTTGGAGGCAAGGATTCTGAGGCTTCGTCTGACATACTTTGGTCATGTTGTAAGGAGAGACTGGTCATTGGAGAAGGACATCATGTTTGGAGGGCAGGCGCAAGAGTTCTGGGAAGGCCCTGTAGGAGATGGACTGATTTGGTGACTGGGGTAATTGGGATGAGTGTGTCGGAGATAGTGAGATTGGCACAGGACAGAACAGAGTTTATGGCTGTTGTACATAGGGTCACTATGAGTCGCAAGCAACTCGACGGCACATAACAACAACAACAACAACAACAGTCTGATGGCAGTTGTTACTGTGTGGAATTAAGGTTATTCCAATTCATAGTGACTGTATATGACAGAATTGACTGCTTCACAGGTTTTTCTAGGCTGTAATCTTTAACTTCCACTTGATTTTCTTTCAGGGTAATTTATCTTCTTGTGACACTGATGTGCCAAATGTGGTAATTGTTATCCATGGTGGACAGTGTTTGCTGGAGCTTCCCGACTAAATCAAGCCTGGAAGCAGGAGCGGCATCCACTTCTGAAATGGCGTGCCTCCAGAAACTCTACGTATGAACAGTGCTCAGGCCTTTCGTTCATAGGGTCGCTATGAGTCATCTACGACTCGACAGCACCTAACAACAACAACAACAACAACATTTTATCTTCAGGCTTTATGGCCTCAAATCCTTCCATGGACTTTGATGCATCATGAGTGAGCACCTGCAGGTCTAAATCAGGGCAGAGTGTTGTGTACTTGTGGGAGACATGGCAAGGGCTCTTGAGCAGCTTGATATGAATGACACAACTCATACACTGATACAACTCATACACATAATGGGAAGCAGGCACATGTCAGAGACATTCACTTCAGAAATGATTCTGATGGCTGCAAGTACATTTCCAGTTACGACCTTTCTGATGGCCTCGACTTTGGGCATGCAGAAAACACAGCTGGTTCAGCAAGAGTTGGCCATGGTCCTTTTTTGGCATAACCATTATTTTTCCTTGGCATTGTTACCTTAGAAGATAGCACCTGAAGGCTAGGTTGTAATTTTTATAGAAGCAGATGGCCATGGTTTTCTTTAATGATTGTTGTTGTTGTTGTTGTTATGTGCTGTCGAGTCGCTTGTGACTCATAGTGACTCTATGTACAATAGCCTAAAACTCTGCTCTGTCCTGTGCCAATCGCACTGTCTCTGATACTCCTATCCCGATTACCCCAGTCACCGAATCAATCCATCTTCTAGAGGGCCTTCCCCTCCTGCGCTGTCCCTCCACTCTCCTAAGCATGATGTCCTTCTCCAAGGACCGGTCTCTCCTTAGGACATATTATCAACATATTGGTCAACTGAGTGCCTAACCATTGTGCCACTAGGGTTCCTTGTCTGATGGCCAAATATGTTGGCATTGAATTGATTCCAGTGACCCCAAGGACACAACAGAACTGCACTATAGGGTTTTTCCCAAGGCTGCACTCTTTACAGAAGCTGATTGCCATAAATATTTCTCTTGCAGAATAGGCTGGTGGGATTCTGATTGCATTCTGGAGGGAAATTAACACATAAAAATATCACTATTGAAACTACTTTAATTTTACCCATAAAAGATGAAATACTAAGAGGTATGTATTCTTTATAGTTCTGACAACACCAAAGTGGCTAATTGTCAGTATATATAAAAGATGAGAAACAGAAAGCTGACATTTAGATTCACACTAACCTGTGCTGGATCTGGTCCTTCAAGGACTGGTCCCTGTCTTTATCTCTGTGTTCAGCAGCTACCTGATGAGTGGTATCTTCAGAAGTTCCACGTAGCAGTGCTTCAGCTAAGGGATGAAAATTACTTAGTCAGGATATTTGTTAAACCTGAGGAAGTCCCCGCTAACTGCTAAGATGTACTGTTGCAAGAAGGTCAAATAACTATTGTCCTGTCTTTGGTCCAACATAATTTTAAACTGTTTGAGATGGTTAAAAAGCAGCTTTGGGATAACAAGTTAAGCTTTCCTTGAAAGTTGTGGAAAATACAGTCCAAAGCAACATGGGAGATGTGGTGTAGTTTCAATGGAAAGGACCTCTTATGAATGAAATAAATGAATGCAAATGGCAAGAATGAAAAAATGATGGGGCATCATGACTAACAAGCTTAGACAGAACCAGAACATTACGGTTTTAAAATCAAGACTGAATTAACAGGGCAGCCATAAAATAAAATGAACTTTAAAAAAAATGACTTGTTAATATTATACTGTGGTATGATAAAATAATTTACGTGGGTTTTCTTTCGGATATCATGGTCCCCCATAAGAGAGACATAAAAGAGCTGAACACAAGAGGACCCCCAACCAGAAGAACAACAATCAACTTCGATGGAGCCCTATTCAGGATATGTGGCACAGAGTTCAGAGCACTTGTGCACTCGGTAAATCATGAAAAGGAAATAAAGCCTTGAATTAGATGAAAAGAGTTAGAATTACTCAGCGTGTGCAAGAGAATATTGAAGAGTAAATGAACAGCCTTCAAGAAAAATAAAGGACTCTTACACGGGAGAGCAATCAGTAATACTCCATCCTACATTCATGATAGAACGAGAGGGAATGGAATTGGAGTATAATTAATACTTTCAGGCTTTTCATGAAGCCCAAGCATGACTGACATCAGCACAGGTGACTGAAGATGTTTGAGGGAGTTCTTGAGAGAAGCCATGTCATACCTGAGGGTCATTGCCTTGCAGTTGTCATGGATTTCAGCACCTGGTAGAATTCACCCCTCCCCCAAGCCCCCTGACATCTCTTCTCTACTCCTATCTCCACTGTCATGGTCACATTCCTCTGAAACCGTGAGAATGTGCTTCCAACAAGTCCTATTGCTGAAGAATATCTCCAACATCATCCAGACCCTAAATTCCTGCCTTTTCTCACCAATTGCTTCAACATCTCTTCCCAAACAATGATACCAACTTATTCGTCTGCATGTCCTTCTGCTATATTAGCCTGGAAAACCCAGGGTTCATCATACGTGAACTTGCTCATCTTCTCTAAAACTACACTTGTACTGCTAAGTGTCTTTAAAGAAAAATAGACACCACTGTGACTTATAGTTTCATAAGTTTCCTGGCTCAAAATTGAGCTGAGCTCTAACTCTATAGCTGCTCCCTTTCTTAAATATGGCGTTGTTATGTGCCATTAGGTTGCTTGCAACTCATAACAACCCTATGTTCAACAGCTCTGAACTCAGTCCTATCCTGAGCCAACTTCATTGTCTTTGACACACCTACTCCTATTGCCCCAGTTACTGCATCAGTCCATTTCACCCTGGGTCTTCCTCTCTTGCGCTGTCTCTCCATCCTTCTGGGCATGATGTCCTTCTCTAAGGACTGGCACCTCCTGGCCATGTGCCCAAAGTATGTGAGACAGAGCTTCAAAATCCTAGCTTCTGGGGAGCTCTGGTGGGCTAGGGGCAAGAAGCCGCACTGCAATCCCAGAGGTAAACAGTTCGAATCCACCAGATGCTCTGCTGGAGAAGGGGGGGGCAATCTCCTGTACCAGTCAGATGTGATTTGATGATTGTTGTTGTTGTTGTTGTAGTTGTTATGTGCCATTGAGTCATTTGCGACTCATAGCGACCCTATGTACAACAGCCCTAAACCCTGCTCTATCCTGTGCCAATCGCATTGCCTCTGACACACCCATTCCATGGTTTTCTTTAATGATTGTTGTTGTTGTTGTTGTAGTTGTTATGTGCCATTGAGTCATTTGCGACTCATAGCGACCCTATGTACAACAGCCCTAAACCCTGCTCTATCCTGTGCCAATCGCATTGCCTCTGACACACCCATTCCGATTACCCCAGTCACTGAATCAATCCACCTCATAGAGGGTCTTCCCCTCCTGCGCTGTCCCTCCACCCTCCCAAGCATCATGTCCCTCTCCAAGGACAACATGTCCAAAGTATGTCAGACAAAGTCCCAGAATCCTTGCCTCCAAGGAGTAGCCTGGTTTAACCCTCTCTAGGATGGATCTGTTTGTTTACTTGGCAGTGCCGGTACAAACACAAAAACTTACAAAAATTTAAAAAAATTAAAAAATCCTAGCCTCCAAGGAGATACTTGGTTTCATCCTCTCCAAGACAGACCTAATGTTTTTTTTGGCAGTCCATGGTATATTCAAGACTCTTCTCCAGCACCACAACTCAAAGGCATCAATTCTTCTGTCATCCTTAGTCACTGTCCAGCTTTCTGATGTGCATCAAGAAATTGCAAAGACCATGGCCTGGATCAGGTACACCTTAGTCTCTAGACTGACATCTTAAATATGAGTAAGTAAATAATAGAAAGTCCTGAAGAGCAATGGTGTCTCTCTGGAGACTAAGGTGTGTCTGATACAGGCCATGGTCTTTGCAATCACTTGTTATGCATCAGAGAGTTGGATAATGACTAAGGAGGATAGAAAGAGAATTGGTGCCTTTGAGCTGTGATGCTGGAGAAAAGTATTGAGGGTACTGTGGACTGCTAAGAAAACAAACAGATTCATCCTGGAGAGGGTTGAACTGGGTGGCTCCTTGGAAGGATTCTGAGGCTTCATCTAACAAATTTTGGACATGTTGTTAGGAGGGATCCGGTCCTTAGAGAGGGAAGTCATGCTTGGGAGGGTAGAGGGACAGCACAGGAGGGGAAGGCCCTCTATGAAGTGGATTGATTCAGTGACTGGGGTAATCGGGATAGGTGTACTGGAGACAGTGCAACTGGCACAGGACAGAACAGAGTTTAAGGCTATTGTACATAGGGTCGCTAGAGTCACAAGCAACTTGACGGCACATAACAATAACAACAACAAATAATAGAAAAAGTGAAAGGAAAAAAAATCTTCTCACTGTATCTCTTTTCTTACTTCCAACAACCAAGTTTCAATCTTAACTCAGCCACTTCCTTTTCCATCTTGAAAGTCTTTCACTGCCATGTTGGCCTTCCCTCTCTTTAGGCCCCTGGGCTCCAGTCTGGACCATTCCTCAGTCCTTCCTTGACCTTATTGATGATGTCCTGCTTTGCAGTCTGCGGGGTGTGGATGCAAAGTACTTTTCTGTCATGCAGGACAGAGGCTGCCCTTGACTTAAGGAATGGTGCTCCCACACCCCAACCCTGGCCACACAACTGCAGGATAAAGCCTGAAATCTTAGCTGACTCTCAGTTCTACTGAAGTACTTGCATTTTCCAGATGGACCATTTAGGTCCTTTGGGGCAAGTGCTTCATCATGAAAACACCTTTCTCTCTTTCTTTTCTCCCTTTCCTGAACTGGCTGATCTTTTCTCACACTGAGAATGTCTAGGATCACACAGAACAAACGAGAACTGTCAGCTTCTGTTTCTCCCCCTCATCCTGTACTGTGAACTGCATCAAGAAGAGGATGTGCCCTACATTTCTGCATCATCAGAGCCCAGCACATCACATACACTAAGCAATAGTTTACTAGTGATTCTATTTCAGCCGCCACACTTGCTGCCCAAGTAGAACTTTCTGCTTTGATGGAAGTATTCTATAGCTGCACTGTCTCTTATGGTAGCCATAAGCCTCAGGTATCCATGAAATTTTGATTCATTTAATGTTAATAATTTTAAATTTTGAATCTATGGCCACATAGAACTAATGGTTACTACATTGGACAGCACAGCTTCCCCTCTCTCTCTCTCTCTCTCTTTTTTTTTAGTTCCTTGTAAATTCTTTGAAGATAGTATACATTTCTTTTTTATAATTCTACATCAATGCCTAACCTATTGTTTAGCACATAGTTGTTGTTGTTACGTGCCAACGAGTCGTTTCCGACTCATAGCGACCCTATGCACAACAGCTCTAAACCCTGCTCTATCCTGTGCCAACCGCACCACATCTGACACACCCATCCCGATTACCCCAGTCACCGAATCAATCCATCTCATAGAGGGTCTTCCCCTCCTGCGCTGTCCCTCCACCCTCCCAAGCATGATGTCCCTCTCCAAGGACCCGTCCCTCCTGGCAACATGTCCAAAGTATGTCAGACGAAGCCCCAGAATCCTTGCCTCCAAGGAGCAGCTTGGTTTAATCCTCTCCAAGACGAATCTGTTTGTTTTCCTGGCAGTCCAGGGTACATTCAGTACCCTTCTCCAGCACCACAGCTCAAAAGCATCCACTCTCCTTCTGTCCTCCCTAGTCACTGTCCAACTCTCTGATGCATAACAAGCGATTGCAAATACCATGACCTGTATCAGGCGCACCTTAGTCTCCAGAGAGACACTGTTGCTCCTGAGTATGTTTGAGAGGTCCCTAATGGCAGACTTTCCCATCGCGATACGCTTTTTGATTTCCTGACTGCTGGTACCAAGAGTGTTAACTGTGGAGCCGAGCAAAGTGAAGCTGTGAACACTCTCAATCTCTTCATCATCCATCCTGACGCTGCCAATTGGTCCAGTGGCGAGAATCTTTGTCTTCTTGACGTTGAGCCTTAGTCCATACTGAAGGCTGCAATCCTTGACCCTTTGCAGCAAGTGCATGAGGTCCTCCTCAGTTTCAGCAAGCAGGGTTGTGTCATCTGCATAACGGAGATTGTTGATAGATCTTCCACCAATCCTGATGCCACAATTCTCCTCATAGAGCCCAGCCTCTCGGATAATCTGCTCGGCATACATGTTGAAAAGGTATGGAGACAGGATGCATCCCTGGCGTACACCCTTCCCTATTTTGAACCATGCAGTGTTACCCTGCTCTGTTCTGACTACTGCCTCTTGGTCCAAGTATAGGTTTCGTATTAGCACAATTAAATGTTCTGGGATTCCTATTCTTCTCAGAGTCAGCCACAGTTTGTTATGATCCACACAGTCAAATGCCTTTGCATAATCAATGAAACACAGAAAGACATTCTTCTGGTATTCCCTGCTTTCAGCCAAGATCCATCTAACATCAGCAACGATATCCCTAGTACCACAACCCCTTCTAAACCCAGCCTGGACTTCCGGCAGTTCTCTGCTGATGTGCTGTTCTAATCGTTTTTGGATGATCTTCAGCAGAATCTTGCTTGCATGTGAAATCAATGACACTGTTCTGTAGTTTCCACACTCAGTTGGGTCACCTTTCTTTGGAATGGGAACAAATATAGATCTCTTCCAGTCAGTTGGCCAAGTGGTTGTTCTCCAGATTTCTTGGCACAACTTGGTGAGCACATCCAGGGCAACACCTGTTATATGAAATACTTCAATTGGTATACCATCTATTCCTGGGGCTTTATTTTTTGCTATTTCCTTCAAAGCAGCTTGAACTTCTTCCTTCATCACCATAGGCTCTTGCTCATATGTTATTTCTTTAAATTCCTCTGTATCTGCCAATTCCTTTCTATATAATGACTCAGTATATTCCTTCCATCTTCTTTTAATACTTCCTGGATCATTTAATATTCTGCCGAAGCATCCTTGATTACAGCAACTCTAGGTTTGAATCTGTTCTTCAGTTCCTTGAGCTTAAGAAATGCTGAGCGAGTTCGGCCCTTTTGATTTTCTGACTCTAGTTCCTCGTACATTTCATTGTAGTATTTTGCTTTGTCATTCTGAGCAGCCTTTTGGAATCTTCTGTTCAGCACATAGTAGGCATGGAAAAATATTATAAGTGGATGAATCAGATATTAGGATGAGTTTTATCTATCCAAAACTGTTTTGGAGGAGTGTTGATTACTATATGGGAAAATGGCCTTGCAAAGGCCATTCTACTCCTAAATTCTAAGGGGCGGGGATGGAATCTTTAAGATGTGAAATAATTTGTTTTGTTAAGTGAATACAGTTGAATATGAAGTGGTAGCTTGATTTTCAAAAGTGTAGACAACTATTAAATTATAATACTTGATGTCATTCCACAACTCCTCTGGGTTTTTATCAAATCTGTTCTGGAACTGAGTTTTAAATTCAGGTAAGACAGACTCAAGGTCATTTTTTTGGTTCTTGTGGATTTTTTCAAACTTCTTCAGCTTAAATTTGAACATGCACATGAGTAGCAGTTAGCCCAGTTTCAACTGTTGACATTAAACCTCTTCAAACATTTTTCCACAGATGTAGTCAACCTGCCCTGATTTCTAGCATTACTATATTTCTGTTAGTAAACAACAATAATAAAAGAATATGACATCTGTTAAAGAATAGGCTTTTGGGTTTGTTAGCCTGCTTTAAGGGTAAAATAATAAATGTCATACAAATATGAAATAAACACATGTCAAAATAAGCATAGTGGAAGAACTTCTAAGATGTTAAATATAAGAAATAAGGAAACCTGTAGTGAATCTTTTAATAGGTGGAAAAATTTATTACAGTGTGTAGTTGCTGTTGTGTAACATAGAGTCAGAATTGACCCATGGCTGATCCACTGGAGGGTTTTTTCAGGGCCAGTTAATCCCACAAGAAGAGATTGCCCTGTAATATTTGCAACTGTCTGTTTATATAATAAAAATTGTGTTCCAATGAGACAAAATGCATTTGTGTTTCCAGGGACCAAAAATTGTCATTAAAAATACCTCCTCTACACCACGTTTTTTGTTCCAAGTGTTACCTTTCATTATTTCTTTTTTAAAAATTTTTATTTTAATGAAAGTTTACCGAGAAAAGCAACGTCAAAGCAAATGAAAGGCACAGGCGCCTATGAATGAGTTAACTGAAGGTCCACGTGAGATGCTCAGTATTCTATTGAATGGACACCCTACCATGCTTTGCTTCTTTCAGAGTTTTCTACATTTTCTTCTTTTCTTTAATCATGCTTATTATTAATACTGTTAGACTGTCCTTAAACATTTAAAACCTAACTAATTTAATCCCCATAACAATACAAAGATACATCCTACAATAATGGCTTGAGTCTAAGCCTTAGAATAATGAAATTACTTTCCCAAGGTTTAAGCACTTCCTATGTGGCAAAGCTCCAATGCAATAATTTATAATTTTTGTCCTCATGTATTTAATTTGTGGGGTAAAGTAACATTAATTTCAAGGATGAAGCACAGGTACATAATCCACAAATTTATGAGCTGTCCTATGGATATTTACCCGGACCAGGTGAGGATTTCAAACAACTGACATTTGCCCTTCAGAGCTAACATCTACTTTCATCAAGTCAACACTGACTCCTACCAGCCCTATAGCACAGCGTGGAATATTCCAGAGGCTTTCCAGGCTGCAGTTGTTAGGGAGCAGACTGTCACCTCTTCCTCCTGTGGTATGGCAGGATTTCCAATCACTGACCTTTCTCTTAGCAGCCAAGTACTTATCTATTGTGCCACCCAAACGCTTTAGTTAGGCTGTTACATCAAGAGATGGGTGTAACCAGATCCTTGTGTAAAGCACAGATACAGTTTAAACTTTGACTAGGGTAACCTAACATGTACTAAAAAAAGCCTCACACTCATTACTCTCAAGCTGTAGGTGATTCACAGCTGATCTTCCACTACAGTGAATTTTCAGAGGAGATGGTCCATCTTTGAACTGTCTGCCTTTGGGTTGGCAGTGAAACCACTCACTCACTAGACCACCAGAGCACCCTTATCATGGACTAGCTAGCCACAAAAACCTCCCATGTGCACTCAAGTCTGCATGAGGGGAGCTATCAAGTTGTTGGGAAGGTCCAGAGATGGTGAGCAGTTGGACCAGAACTCCACCAGTCCAGGATCTGCTTGCAGGGATGAACACAGACAGCTACACAGGGCAGACGGAGCCATGAAGATTGGGTGAACCCCTAAAAACATTACTCTAAAATGATCTTTAAACCTTAAACCAAAAAATACCTCATCAGATCTTATTAAAACCAAACAGTAGTTTAGCTTAACTGGTAAACAAAGTTTGCTTTGATCATAGTGTTCTTTAGAGATTGGTCAATTGGTCGAGTTGACAACAGCAACTCGAAGACTTAGATAGGAATCTTGGGAGAAATGAGTTTGAAAGAGGAAAAATGGAGTAAAGGAAGATGAGACAAGCTTGCACAACTCCAAGAATGCAATCCGTGCCACTGAACTGTACATGCGGCAACTGCTGAACTGATGTTGTTTGACTATGTGTATTTTCAATTAAAACAACAGCAGTTCATGCTCAGATAAGTAATTCATGGAAATGTGAAAGGGATGCTTTACTGCTAACTAATAATCATACATGTAAATATTTATTGTCTTGGTCAAATAGCAAAAATAGAAAATATTTCAGTTATATCTAAGTGTGAAAAAAACAAAACAAAACACCTGTTCAACTTACCCATGATGCCATTTAAGCGATTCAGTGCCGTAGTATCTGAAATATCTAACAATATGGCAAAATCAAGTGCAGGGGAGGGAACAGGAACTTCACTGGAAACCTTGGGATCAATGGCCAGTGTAGATATTTGTTTTCTCTTTGCCTCCAGTTCTAATTGTTCTTTGTTATATCCTGTGAGAGCTTCCTCAAGAAACTTGGCTTGGTTTAATGTCATTGGAAATCCATCAAGGACCCACCCATGACCCACAGGTACTTGACTGTGTAGGAAAAAGAACAAGACATTACTGTGTTTATAGACATATGTACTTTGGGCACAATAATACAATGAATCTTACCTTGACCTTTCAATTCCACAATAATCTAGTGCATAAATTTTATTGTTTTAACTAAAAGATGAGTTTTACCCAGGTCCTATAGTCACTCCCTTGTTTAAATCCTTCAGTAGTCCTTGCTATTCACCAAATCAATTACAGAGGTGTCATCATAGTGTGTATATACACATACTATATATACATAGTTGCTGCTGTGTACCATCAAGTTGGAACCGTCTCATAGTGGACCCTCTGGCGGGTTTTCAGAGGCAGTTCATCACACAGGAGGAGATTGTCCATCCTTCTCCTGTGGAGCAGTTGGTGGACTCACACTGCATGCCTTCAGGATAGGAGTACAGTTTCTTGCCACTAGGCCACCTGAGGGTGCGCATGCGTGCGTATACACACACACACACACACACACACACACACACACTTTGTTGAGTACTGTTAAGTCAGAACTGACTCATAGCTGATCCTTCAGCGGGTTGTCAGAAGCACTTAATTGCATGACAGTAGATTGGCTATCATCTCCCACAGAGCAGCCGGTGGATTTGAATGGCATGCCTTCAGGATTGTAGTGTGATGTCTTACCACTAAGCCCCAGAGCTTCATGTTGTTTATATATATGTAAATATATACACACGTATATAAGTGTGTGTATATGCATATATACACACATGCATATTCATATACACACATACATATTGATAACTGATTCACTGCTGACTCCTCTGGATTTCCAAGGCTGTAAATTGCACAGGTGATTGCCCATCTTTGTCCTATGGAGCTTCTCAGACCATCAGGGAAGTAAACTGGCCTTTGGATTAGCAGTGAATTCCTTACAGACTCAGTTACGGGAGCCATATAAATATATATTTTGCCTTTGGATTAAAAGTAGTCATTTTGTTTTTTTCTCTGGTACTATTAAGAGTAAATAATGTGAGTCCTCTTCCAAAGGTCTCTAGGTTTGCTGTGGTGCTTGCATGTGATCTTCTTCCTTATTTTTTTTTTAAAACCCTGAAGTTCAAATAGGTTACGTAACTTGCTCAAAGTCACAAAACTTCAAGTGACTTCAAATCCAGATCCTTCTACGTATCAAGCTGCCTTTGGGTATAAACGTCCCCACTTCTTGTTGTTAGGTGCACCGAGTTGACTACGACCTATAATAATGACTCTATGATAACGGATCTGAATCATGCCCCTCCCTGCACCATCTCATTGTCACTATCACTGCATGCATCCACCCTGGTGAGTCTTCCTCTTTCTCTGACCCTCTACCTTTTCCAGCACGATGTATCTTTCAAAGGGCTGGCTTCTTCTGACCACAGGCCCAAAGTGTGTGAGGTAAAATTTCACCATCCATACCATTAAGGAACACCTTGGATACACCTGCTCCAAGACCTACTGTACTTTGCTTTTATAAGTTCACCACAGCTTAGTAATACATTCTACAAAGGATAAATGTGTTGGCTTAAAAGGGAGAAAATGCCCTTGAGTTCCTGGTCAGGACTAGGTGACCTCTTCTGTGACCCGTACCTCAGATGCCATTTCGGAGGAGGAGCAACTCTGCCATGAGGACTCCAGACTTGGGGTTGGGACACCTGGCTGTGGGCTCTGTTTATAGAATTAACCAGATACAGAACCTAGAGCACTACATTGATCTTCCATCTGTCAACATCCCCCCTATGAAAAGAGGTGGCCTGAACTAGATCAGAGTTTCAAATTGACGGCAGGCCTCTGGAGGTGCTGCAGAGATGATGGGGAAGAGGGCTGTTGAGGAAAATAGAGTTCTTAGTAAGGTGGAGTTCTTGACATTCCGCCTTCACTGAAATGAAAGTGGTATATATGATGCTTCTCATATATAAGTTTCTTAGAAGAAAGGTGCTCATGACAACAATCTTTGTGCCAGTTCTGAATAAAGTATGTGAGCACTCTCAGAACAAAGTCCCTTCTAGAGTCCAGCACAGCAGTGTTGTGACCTGATTTTGGCAGCACTGAATTCAGAGAGCAATTGGCCAGAGATGTACAAGATTAGGAAGCAACTTAATCTCTAAGGCAATCTCTTAAGAGAACATTAAAGACCACTCCAAATGCATGCTAAAACCCTCTTTGCTCTCTCTCTCTCTGTGTCAGAGTTTCCCACATGTCCTAGATACCCTAATCTAATTCCTCTTCCCTACTGAGTCCTCTAAAATACTTCCCCAGTAGTCTTTTGATTATTTCTTTCATTCATCTCAGCATCATCTCTTTATCATAATGAGCAACTAGCCTCAATGATTTTGTTATATTTGCCCCCTGCTCTTATGACCTAAGAGAGGGAACTCTAGTGGTTTAATGGTAAGGTGTTGTGCTGCCAATGCAAAGATACATGGTTCGAATCCACTGGATACTCTGAAGGAGAATCTCCTCCTGTGTGATTAATTGCCTCCGAAAACTGGCTGGGGGGGGGGGGTCAGTGACGAGTCAGTCCCAACTCAACGCCTCCTAACAACAACTTATGATCTAAGTTCCACATTCTAAAGAGTTGAGAAGAATATTTCCTTAGAAAAAAGCCCCAGATATTAAAGTAGGTTAAATGTTTGGCTGTGAACCAAAATGGTGGCAGTTCAAACCTATCATTGTTCCCAGGCAGAAAGATGAGTCAGTCTTCTATTAATTATAGTTTTCAGTCCCAGCAACCACATGGAAGGTGGTCCTGAGTTGGAATCAACCCAATGACAATGGGCTTAGAATACTGGAAGGGACATATTACAAAATGCTAGCGCATTTGGATTGCTTTTCTTTGGCCCCTGCTTCACATCCCTTGGTGGCTTAGTGGTAAGGAGCTGTACTGCCAACCTACTGGCATGCAGTTTGAATCCAGCAGCTGCTCTTTGGGAGAAAGATGGGCAACCTCCTCCCAGGAGACTTACTGCCTCTGAAGACTTGTTGGAAGGTCAGTATGAGTCAGTTCTGACTGGATGGAACACAACAAGAACCACAAGCGCAATGCATAGAGGCCATTCTTTGTGCAATCTCTGCTTCATCATTATCTTGTAAATGTAGCACCACCCACCTAGGGAAGTCCAGCTTCCAGATCTTTGGATTCCATCCCCTGCTTTCCACTTCCTGAAATACAAAGGCCCATTGGCTTGTGACCCATGGGCTGGATCTCTGTCTTATGTAATATATCGCTTGATTTTTCTAAGTATCTATTTCTCTTTGCGTTCCTTATATGGAATAGAATCTGGCCATCTTGCTGACTGAAGAAAGGCGTGGTAAACGGTGACAGAGAAAGAGGGGCTTGCAAATCACAAGATCTATCTTTACCCTGTAGAATTTCTTTCTACTGTAAATGAGTAACATTCATTAGATATTAAAAAGAAAAGTACTCATAGGGCTTTCTTTATATTCTTCTGTGTGGTAAAGAATATATTAAATAGATACAAGAAAAAGGGAAAAAAAGCATTACGTACTTAATAGCATTAACCATGATGCTAACCAGCAACTCATCGGGAATGCTCATTCCTTTCTTCAAAAGCTCTTCTGATTTTTCACCAAGCTGAGCACGTACTGTGAGCTGCAAGAAAAAAAAAACAACACAACACAATTTTTGTTAGGATACAGTGTGAACAGCATAAAAGATGACAGAAGAAGAATCAATGTCTTTGAACTGTGGTGCTGGAGAAGAGTACTGAATATTCTGTGGACTGTCAAACGAAGAAACACATGTCTTGGACAAAGTGCAACCAGGGTGCTCCTCAGCACTACAACAACACAAGCTTCACTGTTTGGCAACTCTAAGAGAACTTAACCTAAAAGACATGCAGTGCAGCTAATTTAAAAGTTAAATTCCAAATGTTTGGTGGGAAAAGAATTAAATGACCATGCATTCTGATGAAGACCTGGTCATTGAGTGCAATTCTACAATCCACAAAGCTTCAAAATCCTACCCTCCAAGAGCAACTTGGTTTCACCCTTTCCAAAACGGATCTATTTCATTTCCTGGTGGTCCACGGTATGTTCAGTACTCTTCTCCAGCACCACAACTCAAAGGCACCAACTCTTCTGTAATTCATAGTCATTGTCCAGCTCTCCGATTCATAGCAAGTAATTGCAAAACTGAGGCTGAGACCTCAAACATGGAGACACAAAACACTGGAGATAAATAAATTTGTATACAGATTTTTAGGCTACCCCTCTCTAACCTGATCTTTCTAAGATCTTCTCCCTTAATTTGTAGCAGCTTTGCCATCCTCAAACTTCATCCTTTGATGAAATCAAAAGGATTGAAGTTCTCTGCTTGAGCCTGAGGCTACCGGGCAGGGCATGCCCTCTAGGGAAACCCTGGATTAACATGCATCTCATCCAGTGAATTTCTTTCAAAGGTTGAATTCTTGTATTACAGGGGGCAAATCTGCTGTCAAGGACTGCTTTAAAAGGCTAAAGAGCAAGGTGTCAGTTTAAAAATGAAAGTGTACCGAACCCAAGTTATGGTATTTTCAAATGCTTCACATGCATGTTCAAAGTTGGACAATAAAGAAGGAAAACAGAAGGATAACTGTTGCCTTTTAACTGTGGGGCTGAGAAAAAATTCAATAGACCGCGGACTGCCAACCACCAAAAACAAAACAAAACAAAACAAAACAAAACATCCATCTTGGAAGAAGTACAACCAGAGTGTTTCTTAGAAACAAGTATTGTATAAAAAAAACAAAACAAAAAAAAGAGAAACAAGTATTGTGAGACTCTATCTCACACTAAAGGGTCATGATCATGGAGGGGCCAGTTTTTGTAAAAGGACATCATGCTTGCAAATATGGAGGGCCACAAAAAGAATGTCTTCAATGAGCTGGAGTGACAAGTGATGTCCACAGTGAGTTTAAGCACAGCAGGTATCATAAAGATGGCCCAGGATCCAGTAAGGTTTCAATGTGTGGTGTAGAGGGCAGTGATGAGTTAGAGTTGACTCAACAGCACCTAACAACAATCATGCTTGGATGCCATTTATTTTCTGCCTGTGTGTTGCCTTCAAATAATGAGCTTTTCTATTTTATTCAGCATTCATGATTGTTTTGTGTAGGAAGTTTAATCCAATGCAAGCTACTCCACTAGAACAGGCACTTTCCTAGAATCTATTCTTAACTCAGCCCCCAGAGTAGCATGTGGTAAATTAGAAGCTGATGTGTTACTCTTTAAATGGCTTCTGCTTAAATAAAAACCACATCCTCATCATTGCCTCCAGGGTCTCACTGGCCCAATTCTCCTTGCCCTTCATCTCACTAATGTCGTCTGTTACTACTCCCCAAACCTAGTGGTCAGCCTCCTTTCAGCTTCAGTGGCTGCCTGGGTTATTTGGGGCAGCCCAATGAGTTGCTCCTTTGAATTCTTTCAGTCCTCTTATATCTCATTTCTTTAGAAGGCCCACCCCATTTAACATCATTGCTCCCATTCTCCCTTTCACCAGGGTCCTGATACTCCTTTCTCTAATTTTTCTTTCCTCCTGGAATATTTTTTCGCAGTCAGAAATTGATCAAATATGCAATCAAGATGCATTAATAATAATGGGCGAGGGGAACGCAAAAGTTGGGAACAGGGAAGAAGGATCAGTAGCTGGAAAACACGGGCTCAGTGAGAGAAATGAGGCTGGAGATAGAATGATAGAGTTC